TTTTTTTTTTTTTTCGATGTTTATCAGACTTTTCCGCCACGGTAAATAACCCTCATTTTATAAGACGTATATATTTTAATGACAGTAACTGTTGTTGTTATTAAAATTACGATCATTACTACAATATTTGTATTTGTAAAGGAATTTATTTCCATTCTGTTATGCGAACTTTGTAGGTTTGGCCGCTTACATTGTGCCATTAGTACGACACCGCAAAAAGGAGATTTGGTGGATTAGAATCAGTTATACACTTGCTAGTTTTTTTAGCAGTGAAGGTTGTTGAAAATTTCTGTGGTTTTTTTCAGTAGTGAATTTTTCTTTTCCACCTCAACATTTTCTAATAGTTTGTTCATGTTCAGCTAAACTGCAATGTGTGAAAGAAAAATGGTTTTTTTTCCTGTTACTTTCTTACGTCTGCTTGGGAGTGCTTTTTTTTTTTTTTAAATTAATTGAAACATATGTTGAATTTTTTCAAAATGTGTCTTTTTGTTCAAGCATTAGTGCCTTTCGCGTTTTATTTATGAGGATGGGGAAAATTCTCATTGTGAAGAAGAGCAAATTGTTCCTTTATTAATGTTAAGTAATTAGGAGAAGGGGAAAAAAATTTTTTTTTTTTAAAGGGAATTTTAAGCAGTAGATATAATGAATGTTTGCACTTAAGAACAGAACCTGCAAATTCAGTCGTCTTGAGTAGTTTTTACTCTTTTGTTCTGTTATTGTTTTATAATATAATATTGGTTGTTAAAATACATTTTGGTGCTTGAAAGCATGAAAAAAAAAAATATGTGAATATAAAAAAATAGAAGAGCAGGAAAAAATAAAGAGAACAAGTTGTTTTTTATATGTTCGAACATATGTTTTTCCTTGTTTTCATTTTTCGATTTCAACGTTTAATGTTTTTACTGGCATTAGCCAAGGTCAAATTTGAAAAAAAAAAAATTTTTTTTCAACTAGGATTTGGACTTTTTTTATTTGCTTTATTGAAAAGTGATTGAATAGATCTTTATTAGTGCGTAAAATTTGAGCATAAGGGTTGCTTACCTGCTGTTTTGCTAGTGGATGGTGACTAGTTATTAGTATAGCAGCTTGTTGATCGAATGTGTTGTGCGATCAACAATGACAAACTGACGGGGGGAAAATTTTGCTGGGCGACCGGATAGATATATGGCTGTAAAAGATGAGAATTTACTGAAGGGTTTGAGAGATTGTTTTTTTCTTTTCTTTTTTTTTTTTGCGCGTTGTATAACTAAAGCGATTGTTTTGGTTGTTGTTGTTGGTGCTGTTTGTGTGTTGCTATAATTGTAGTACTTTTACTGGTTTTGTACCTTATTCTTTCCTTAGACATTCAGCTCTCCGAGAGGGTATGTCTATCACTTAAAACTTCTTGTGATTTCTGACTTTCTTATTGCTTTATATTCTTTGAATTCTTTCTTAACATATTCATTGGTTGTTGCATTGGAAGGTTCATTTTGGGTTTTGTGATTCAGTTTTCTGTGTTCTTTAAACTTCTCTGCAGATCCTATACTTGGGAATTTTTTTTAGGTTTTTTTTTTTTTCTTTTCTTTTTGCATTTACATTAATACCATTCGTTGTTTTATGCCTTTTTTTTTTATAGCTGCAGCAACAAAAAGAACAATAACGGCATCCACTCAGGCTTTAATCGGGTGGCCATATGTTAGTTAGGCATCCTTAATACATTTCACATTTAACACAGGATCATCACTGTTGTATTTGTTGATGAGTGTACTTGTTCGATCGATTTTAAAACTATATACCATGTATAAGTTTGTGTACATATTATTTTTGATGTCTTTGTGCATGTTGCATGCTAATTGCGGATAATGCTGATGAAGTTTTTACTTTTTAATACCTTTTTTAATCAAGTGTCAATTCCTGAAAAGTTTTTTAAAGAAAAGAATACTGCTTTTTTTGTATAGTTATTTAGCTGTTGTGGGACGTCCTTTCAGAAACATGAAAATACAGGATGGCTTTGGATTACAAGAAAATAGTTTTTTTTTCTCAGTGGAAAAAAAATCTTGTTGAGAAAAGGTACGTACATATGTTTTCCAGTTTCCGTTTTTGATATTTTTTTTT